CTCTTCCTCATGCAGGTGAGCATCCCCGGGGACACGGCCAGGTTGGTACCTCCAAGCCTTCCCCATCCGCCTTTTCCTCCTCCACCCCAGATCCTGGAGAACTTCAAGATCGAAACCATGAGAGCGGTGGAAGTGGGGACCAAGTTTGACCTCATCCTGATCCCGGACAAACCCATCTACTTGACCTTGCGGCCACTCGAGTCTCGGGCATGAGGAGGGTGACACCCAGCTGGTCCCGCTGTGGGGGGACGTCCCCGACAGCCTGACGAGTGCTTTTTGCTCCTTCTGGCCACGCTCCGGCCCCGGGGGTGTAATCTGGGGACGGCTGAGATGCTTTCACGGCCACAGCCTTGGCTTGGCCTTCGCTCAAGGCTGCACTTACGCCACGGGGGAGATAAACCAGAGCCACGCCAGCCCCACCACCACCCCCGGGACCCCCAAGGGACCGTGGGGTGGGGATGGGTGCCATTGCACCCCTCTGGCTTCTGGGGGGGCTCCCCGGGGACTGCAGCCTTGCTTCTCCGACACGCTCTGGTGTTTTGCTTCTTCTCTGATTTCCTCTGGAATTTCATCATGCACAAAAGCACCGGCTCCTTTTGTTTTTTGCCAACGTTGCGCTTCGCATCCGCACTTGCTGGGCAGGGTTTAGGGTGGGGGGACCAGGGGCTGGCGTTTTCTCTGGGGGGCCATGGAGATTGCCAGCAGGTTCTGGTAGGCAATGGGAAAAGGTCTTGGGGAGCTGGAAATCCATCTCCCCTCTGTCCAGGGGGGTATGAAATGGTGGGGATGAAAGTGCTACAGTAAAGAGGGCTGGGGGTGTGTATCCATGGATTTGGGGGGGGAGGGGGTTCTGAGACCTCAGAGGCCATTGTCCCCATTCCCTCTTGCCCAGGGTCCTGCAGGGAATCCAAGGCAAGTCCTCCTTCACGTGCAGGTGGGCATGGAGACCCCCCATTTTCCCCCCTCCCCAACCTGCCTGGGTGCAGAGGGGTGTCTCTGAGCCCCCCTCCTTCCCTCTGCCAAACCCCATTAGGGGTGGCCCTGGTCCCCGCAGGTGCTCACCGAGGCAGGGGTGTGGGGGAAGCCATGCTCCTGCTCCAGCAGACGAGTGCTCAGCTCCTGCTTCTCCCGGCCCCACCTTCTCGCTGCCTCCTCCAGCTGGGACAGACCCAAACCGGGCTGGTTCTCTCCAGGGGCGGAGGTGCCCCTCGCCCCCCACCGTAAAGTGGGGTGCAGAAGGGTCATACCCACCTGCTTCTCCAGCACCCGCCTGCGGGCTTGTGCCTCCTCCAGCTTGGCCAGCAGAGACAGCTTCTCTGTGCCCCTAAAACCACCCTGTGGGCCACGAGATAAGCAGGAGCAGGGAAATGATGGATTAACCCCCTCCCCACCCCTTGCTCACAGTGGGAGCAAGCCATGGGGACCCCACGGAGACAGAGCTGCCACCTTGTTGACGTCTCCAGCACGCCTGGTTGCCTCCCGGTGTTGCTTTCTGGGGTTCCACGGCTCTGCCCCCTCATCCCAGCCCTGTGCCCCCCTCCACAGTTTCACTGGCAAGGCTGGGGGCCATGGGGTGATGGGGGGCAAGAGGTGGGGAGGCCTCTCCAGCTTCTCCTGCAGCCTGTGGTTCTCAGCCAGCAATGCAGCGTACACCTCCCCAGAGAGGCCTTCACCTGTGGGGTGTGGTGGGAGAGCCACTGGGATGTGTCCTACACGCCCTGCACATGCACAGATGAGGGATAGGAGCAAATCCTTGCCTCCCCCACCCCCAGGGATGGGTGCTGGAGGGCTCAGGACCAGCTCTGATCCTCACTGCAGCCTGTCCCATGGTTCAGACCATCAGAAGGGGACATCCACCAGTGGAGACAAACAGCTGTAGATGGGTCTAGCCCAAGGGTCCCCCTCCCTCATTGCACCCACCTGCTGGCTTCTCACTGCTCCTTTCCACCCCAGCAAGCTTCTCCTGTAGCACCCTCTCCATCAGCTCAATCACCTATGTGAGTGAGCAGAGTTGTCCCCGTGTCACCAGCTCCGTGTGTGTTACCCCAGCCACCACAATCCTGGGACCAAGTTGTGCTCATGGAGGGGCAGGGCGGGCCAGAGGGGTCCCATTTGTTCCACACTGCCCCGTGCCCCACAGCTCACCTTCTCCTGCTGCCGCACAGTCTCCTCCAAGCCCTTCATCTTGGCCACTTTCTCCTGGCTCCTCTTCAGTGCAGCTTGCTGCTGTCGGTGGGCTCTTTGGAGCAGCACCAGGTCCTTCTCCTGGTCATTTTTCTGGGGAGGGAGAGGAAGGGGAAAAGCCTCCAACGGGCCTCTGGACTGAGCCTCAAACTTCGGGGCATAATTTGTAGGGCTGGGAGAGCCTTGTGGTGGGGGTTCTGGGGCATTCAGGCACTTTCTTGGCTATGGGGGTGTCATGATGGTCTCCCTGGTGCCTCCTTGCTCCTCCACCCCACCCCATATCTCAGGCAGCCCCTGTCTGCTCCTGCCAGCATCCCTACCCGGATCAGCTCATTCTGCAGCTGCTGGACACGGTCCTTCAGCCTCTTCATCTCTGCCGTGCTGGCCACCAGCTTACATTTGAGGGTGGCTGCAAAGCCCATGCCACGTCCTTGTCACCCAGCCAGGGAATGGTACGGTCCCCTCCATGGCAAGAGGGGTCCCCCAGTTCCCACCTCCCCCTTCGCCATCACGCACCGAGCCTGTCCAGCAGCTCCTCCCGCGTCATGACGTCCAGGTCCATGTTGGCGAGCAGAGCGTGGCCCAGGTCCTCTCGTGGGGCCAGGCTGTGCCGCAGGTGCCCATTCTCCACCTCCAGGCTGGTGACGTGCTGGCGCAGGGACAGCAGGTCCCCCGCCATCCGCCTCAGCGCCAGGCGGTAGCTGCTCGCCTGAGCAAGAGCTCAGATGAGGAGGTTTGTCTTGAGGGGCAGGTGCAACGTGGAGGAGCTAGAACCCACCCTTTTTTCCCTTCATCTTTCATCCATCCATCCTTCTCTACCATCTCCGTCCATCCATGTGTGCATCATTCTTCATCCATCTATCCATGACCATTCTATTCTCCATCTATCCGTGACCCTTCTCTCCTCCATGTATCCTTCTCCATCCATCTATCCTTCTATTCTCTACCCATTCATCCACCCTTCTCCAACCACATAACCTCTACTCCAACTAGTCATCCTTTTGTCCCCCTGAATCTCCTCTTCTCCACTCACCTCTCCCTCCATTGAACACACCACTCGCCTCCCATTTCCCCATCTCTTCATACCACACTCTTGGGGGAAAAACAACTCTCCCAAAGATGTGGGGTGGAGCAATATTGGAGCCTGGGGGGGGTCAGCCTCAAGCTCTGAGCCTTATGGGGCTTTGCAGGTCTTTAAAAGAAGGGAGTTGTCAAAGAATAATGGGAAGATGAATGTTTTATACAGATGGACCTGGGTTTTTTTAGCACCTGGGGAACACCTTGTTAGGTGATGCTGGGGGGAAATAATTCCCTGAGGGTTTGCACCTTCTCAGGCTGTCTCTCCTGAATCCCTGCCTGCCATGCTGGGCTGTGGAAAAGATGCTGGCAGTGAGGACCTTGGCTGGAGAGAACTGTGTGCCTCCAACTCCCCCTGCTCCCAGCCTTGGGGCTGGCCTTGGCTAGCGGCCTGTGGGGGGGCCAGGGCGCAGGGTGGGGGTGCAGCATCATCGTGCAGCCTTGGGAAAGACGGGGGGGAGGGGGGGCAGGTGTGACCAGAGACTTGGCTCCTTCCTCCTCATCTGCCAGAGAGCAGTTTCATCCTGGACTTGGTTCATGCCTGAGATAAAACCCCCTTCAGCCAAACTTGAGGGCTGCCCAAACCAGACCTTTACTCACCAGCAGCGTAGGGTTGACAGCAGCCTGGCTTTGTTCCCCACAGTAGCCAGGATCTGCCTTGAGGACACTGCTGTCCCCCTGGATGCCCCCACTGCCCCTCGCTCCTCCCGTCTCCCTGGCACTCACTGGCTCCTGGTGGTCCCTGATGGTGTCCTGGGACCTGTGAAGCAGAGAGCGAGGACACCCTTGGCCAGCTGCTCCCACTGGAACAAAACACCAGCAAAGCCTTGGCCAGGGAACCCTCTGTAGGAGACAGGAGTGTGTTTGGGGTGCTGGGGAACAAGGCAAGTGCTGGTGAGAATGGAGATACAGGAAAGGTGAGAGCCTGGAGGAGATGAGGAGAAAAAGCAGCAGTAATGGGGCAGGAGGAGAAGCTGCTGGGGAAAACATGGGGAGAATGAAGGAAGGAGGAAACCACCCCAAGGAGGATGAGAAGAAGGAGCCAAGAGTGTGCTGCAAAGCCAGTGTGGCCCCTACCTCCAGTCCTCTGATGGTGCTCCTGTCCCACGTGGGAACAGCTGCTTTCCGGGCAGGATACTGCCCACAGCATCAGCTGCTGGGAGGGACATGTCTTGGTGGAGCTGGCAGGAGACATCAGAGCAGAGGGCGAGGATGAGGAGCAGGATCCAGGAGGGATCCTTCAGCCCCTTCTCCACAGCTGGGGGCATCTCTCCTGGCTTCCAGCTGGAGCAAAACACCTCTGCTATTGTTGCTTTGGGGTCAGGATCCAAGCCCTCCTCCAGAAAATCTCTGATGTCATTAGCTGTGATCCTTCAAATACCCCGCTTTCGGGCTTGGAAGGGACTTGGTGTGGCCACAGGGCTGGAAGACCTTCTTTTGAGGATGGAGACACTTAGCAATGGCTTTAAGTATCAGCTTCTGTCTGGACCCTTGAGAGGAAATTTAGCTACTCCTAAAAGTGACCCCAACAGGGTGCTGTCCCTGTAACAAGGTCCTCAGCACCCATTCGTGACTTCCCCATCCCCACCCACTGCCCCCAGCACTCACAGTGGAGGAGAAGGGTCTGTAATACAGCTTCATCCTGGCTCCTGGGGTGCCCAGTCGCTCCAGCACCCCTCTCTGGGCAGCCAGCCCTGCCTGCAGCAGGTTGCCAGGTTCTACCTGTCCCAAACAAACTCCCCAGCAGCTCCACCACCCCCGGCCAAACCTCTTGTCCCCTTGCCACCGCCCCAGCTGCCGGCCGGTGGACTTACGGTGATGCTGGGGGATTGTAGCATGAGGAAAAGCTGTTTGTTTTGGTTTGTTTTTTTGTTTTTTTGTTTTTTTTTTCCTGCTGGCAAAGGGATTTAGGTGGTGTGGAGCCTCCCAGCAGCCTTGCACACTGGAGGCTGTTGCTACAACACAACCCTTCTCACGGCATCTCCTCCCTGCAGCAGCTCAGGTCACTCATCTGCACCCAGATGGGCACATTCTGGGCATAGGCAGCTGCCTCTGCTGTTCATTGCCCACAGCTCTTCCCCTTTAACATCCCCTTGACCATTGCACATCCCTTTGCTGCTTCCAAACCCATCGCTGTCCTTCTCCCTTTGAGCCCTGAGTCCCTCGCTGCCCTCCCAGCCCTGTTTCAGCCTCCGTTGCTTTATCTCAGACTGAAGAAGGTGACTGGGTGGCAGCCACCACCTTGGTCCCAGCACAGCCTGGTGTCTCTGGCAGTGCCAGCCCCTCATTTCTGTGCCTTGGATGAGGGCATGGAAATGCTCCCACCTCCCAGCATGCTCTTCTGATTATTCAAACACACAATAATCTTCTGAGGACCCACATTTTGGAGATGCTGGGTGGCCTTAGCCTTCAGCTCCTGATCCCAAGCAGAGAACAATTTGCTGATCAAACCCCGCTTTCAAATCCAGATAGAATTTAAAGCATTTTAAGGCAAGGGATGCCCTGCCTCAACTGGTCCCCCAGCCCCGTCCCTCTTTCAGGGTACCCACAGAGACTCTCATGCCCCTCTCCCACCGCGGCATCCCGCATCCACCTCTCCTTTGGTGCTGGTAAGGAACAAAGAGGCCGGTGTAAGTCGATGGAGCCCCTCTCCACCTTGTCCTGTGTCATCAATTTTTCATCAAAGAGACGGTGGGAAGCGTGCAATTATCTGCTCCATCAATAATGCACGGGACTGAGCTCGGTTCCCCGCGCCCAGCAGCGCTGGCCCCACCTGCTGCTGGGGGCACCCGCAGCTCTTCCAGGCTTGGGCAGCACCCGCAGAGGCTGGAAAACCAACCCCAGGCTTCAGCCCCAGCCCAGTGCTGCTCAGACACCCACCAGTCCCATATTTCTGCCTGCAGCAGGCAGCATCGCTCCAGCCCTGCCTCCGGGGACGAGGGCAGAACTAAGGGTGTTTGAACACATTTTTTCCCCTCCACGTCCTATCTCAAATCCACCCGGAGATAACTGCAGCTCTCCTTCCTGCAGGGCTCTGGGATGAAAGGCTGGGAATCCATGTCTGAAGTGATGGAAGCTTTGAAACTCCCAGCACTCACTGTTTATTTTTTAGTATTTTTTTTTCGCCCCCATCATTTCCAAGCCTCTGAAGCTTCCCCTGCCTTTGGTGCCTTTCATCCACCCCGACAAGCTGGCCCCCTCCTTCCCATGTTTGCTTAGCCTGAGTTTTTTTGGGGTTTTTTTGCATTTACTTAACAAATTGCTCCAAGATGCTTTGATGTTTCCGATTAGCTGGAATCAATTCATCTCTAGACTGAGCAGCACGGAGCAAAGCGAGATGTGGGGAAGTGGTGTGGCAATAAACCTCCATAGGAGACAGGATTGTGTGAAAGTGGCCAAAAATAAGGTGTGACAGAGGATTCTGCATCCACTTGGCATGGCCTGACCCCATCCTTGGCTATGGAAGGGATAGCACAGCACCCCAGAGAGAGGCTGAGGATAGGCTAACTCCTTTCAGTAGTGAGCACGGAGGCATTTGAGCCCCTGGCAGCACACCAGTCGCTTCTGCAAACCAGTCTGCCTCCAGCTTGACAAATAACATGTCCCTGGATGAGTATTAAGCCAAATTCCTTAATTGTTCTGAAGATGGGATAAGCTCAGATTTACATATCTAAGAAAAAAATAAAATTGCCACGGCAGCTTAGGAAGATCAGAGGGAAAAAAAAAAAAAACTCAACCAAACCATTTTCCCCTCTTTTCTGTAACAAACCCATCAGGAGAGACAGTGATGCCTTCACTTGCTTTGCCTGATACCCCCATTACCTTTACCCAGCCCCGTGGGACCTGGGTACTGACTGGGGCTGGGGGGATCTGGGGAACACACCGATACCCAAACCAATCCTCAGGACAGGACATATCAGTGCTGGAAATGGCAGGATTTTCCCCCAAATCAATGTGTTTCCCTGGGGAACCCCAATGCCCGTGGGATTTGCAGGTTTCCTGGGGAACATATGACAATTTTTTAGCCCCACACACCTTGGCAGTACGCAGTGGTCGGCAAAAGGCAGCAAATAAATGGGGTTTTATCTGATTAAACCTAGGCTGAACTCCCTTCCCATACACCAGGGCTGGGAAGGGGCGGGGTGTTGCTGTGCTGGGAGGGGGAGCATGTGTATATATTAGTCAAAGCATTACAATTCAATTTAAGAGTTAATTGGATTGCATTGAAAAGCGCTTAATGTGAGCCGAACTGGATTTAATAGAGACACCACATCTTCTGTTCCTGTCCTGAGCAGGAGGATGATTTTAGGGCAGGAGATTACCATCACTATCCGGCCCCGGGCCCAGCTGCTGGCTGCTGATAGCGTGTTGTACAAGGAAATAAAAGCCTCTGGATTACAACTGGGGGAACTTGGGGAGCCAAGATGCTGGATGTAGAGACGACTGCTCCTCAGGCCCCCGCCCGCCCGCCTGCTTCTTCAAGATAAGGCTCCAGAAAGCAGTTGTGCCACCAGCAGGGACTGTGATTCCTCTGTGAGTCGCTGCTGGGTTATTTTGCTCAAAAAAAAAAAAAAAAAAAAAAGAAAATCAGCAGCTAGGATAGAGGTGGGGTGACTCTGGAGAACAAACTCCAGCTGAGTCAGCTGGCTTTTAGGAGGGATGAGAACAGTTGGAGTGATGTCCCCAAATGCTGCTTGGAAAGGAAGGAAGAGGGGGTCAGCAGAACCTCCCAGAGTGGGTTTCTCCTCCCAGCATGGCTCAGAACATCCCACAGTGCTGCTGCTCAGCCGTGGCCATAAACTGGGGCCAGACCTAAAAAACTCCCTCCTGAGATTCAAAAAGAAGGGAAACAGGTTACAGCTGTTTCTGCTGGGTCTTTGTGTTTGTTTTTTTGTTTTCCACCTAGTAAAACAGCCTCGACTGCGTTTTAACATAAACATGCTTAGCAGCTGGGGCTGTGAGGAAGCAGAGGAAAATAAGAGGGATAAACCCCAAGTGTCCCCATCACCGCTGGTGACAGGCACTGCCGTGGCTCGCCCTTGGCCTGGCGGGCGGTTTATTGCTGGCTCTGTGGCCATCCATTTTCCTGCTTGCATATGTATTGACGTGGTCTGCTGATAAAACTCCCCTCCTGTTTCACCAACGACCATCAATCCATCAGCACCCCAAGCCACTGTGCCGAGAGCACCTGCCACCCTGAGCATCTTTCCCCTGCCATTGGGCCCCATCCTTCACAAACAAGAAGTAGGAAAAGCTGAGAAGCCATTAAACGAGGCTGGAGGAGCCATTCTGTGCTGTATTTGCTGAGGGTTTAGTAGTGCTGTGGGGACGGGGTTGGAGCAGGACACACAAGGGCACCCCACGCCAGCGTACACACCCCCGAACACACCAAAATGGTATTTTGGAGCAAATTTTCTCTTTTTCCCATGCCCTGATTCACTGCTGGGGTCTCTGTTCCATACCCTCACAGCCACCCAGACCCAAGCAGAAGAAGCACATGCAAAGCCCACTGAGCCCGACCTGTTTCCCATCCCTGTCCAGAGCCTGGATCACCAAAAAACCCCTCATGCAAATGTAGCTGCACCACCCAGACCATTTGCAGCCCTCACCTATCCACTCCCATCCTCCCCCACCCCTTCACTGTAGGGTCCCTGCTCCTCCAGCACCCTCCATTGCTCTGCAAAAGCCACGTCCCTCTGTCTTCCACCTCTCCATCCCTCCTCAACCCACCTTGCCCCCAAGAAAACAGCATTTCCAGCTGCTTTCACTCTCCCCCAGCCCAGCCGGGCTGGAAACAGGGACAGGGATATTGCAGCCGGCTTTAGGGTGGCTGGAGGGATTCTGCCATACTCTAAATCCCATCAAGACCCCCTTGTGACTGCAGGTCACCCCATCCATGCCTTGCTGTCACACTGGGGCAGCATGGCATCTTCACGCACCGGCTTCATCATCACCAGGGCCAAATGCTAAAAGGGGAAGCAAACTGCCGAATCCTTAATCTCCTTGAGAAGCGAGATAAATATTATCCTGGGCCACATCAGCTGGTTTATGGGCCCGGGCGGGGTTGGGCAAGCTGACGCTAGATGGGGCTGGAGCCGCGCACCGGTGCCGGCGACGGCACCTTCGCCCTTCCAGCGACCTCGGGCATGCAGCCTCTGCACCCCTGGCAGCCGCTTCTGCACCCCTTGCAGCAGCTTCTTCACCCTGTGCAGCACCTTTTCCCTGTGCACCAGCCTTTTCCCTCGCAGCATCCTCAGTCTCTGCATCT